TGTGTGTGTGTGTGTGTGTGTGTGTGTGTGTGTGTGTGTGTGTGTGTACGACAAGGACGCTGCAGCGCCAGCACAACATTATGACGTCATGCGTTGAGCATAGACTTGTGAAAATTTACAGATTTGAACTGTTCGAGTGTTGTCATTGTGATAAAGAGAAATATCATGAATAAATTTTACATTAAACATAATCCAAGTTGAAGTGTTGCATCATTTTCAGCAGAATAATGTAGTATTTTAATTCCACAGCAGAGAAAGTTATGTAGTCTCTGTAAGCAGGTCTAGGGGGAAAAATTTAAAAAATTGGTATCGGTTATCGGCCAAAAACCAATATCGTGCATCCCTAGATAGAACGTTTTATTTTAGGTCAGCTTGACTGAAGCAGATGTTACCTGTTACTCGTCACTGCTCCTGCGGCGTGCGAGTGGGGGCTGCCGGTGCCCGCGGGCGCCTGAATCACGCCGTTCAGCGCCCCGACGATCCCCAGGGCGCTCCCTGCGCCCAGAGACCCCATCAGCCCCGTGACTCCGCCCAGCCCGGCGGCGGTCGCGACGCCGTTCAGCACCGGCTGAGGCGGGCTCTGAGAGACGGAGGGAGAGGCGGAGAGCGAAGAGGTGGAGCCGCTGCTGCTGTGGCCGCCGCATGAAGCAGCGTCCTGAGGGTCAATATTTTTATTACGCATCGTTTGAGTGCAGCTGTTCTAGTGCAGCGTCAACATAACGTCTAATGAAGGTGTTCGTGTCCTCACCTGAGCTGCCGCAGGTAAAGAGCAGTCGGTGCCTTTCACGTCTGCTGCAAAAACACAACTCATGAGTCTCCCAATAATAAAGAATCCACTGTCGTTTAGTTTATTTAGTTTTCTAAACGTATCCAAAATACTTGGAAATGAGCAGAATCTGAGATCATCCAGAGAACTAATGAGCAGAACCATGAAAAAGACTCTGGCTCCCAAAAAGCACGAAGACACTGGAGGCGGTTTAAGACTATTGCACGGACGGCACATTCACCTTGAGCCAGACTCGTGTGTGCGTGGGAATTTACCGGAGGGCGCTGACGGAGTGAAAGGCACCGACAGCTGAGCGCTGAGGAGCTGGAGTCTCTCCTTCTTCATGGTCAGAGTTTTGATCTGCTCCTCCAGCCTCCTGTTCTCCTCCTGCAGCTGGTGGAGCGACTTCAACATTCCCACCACTGAGGAGAAAAACACGCGGTTACTGCTCGCCTGTACATCTTTAAGCTCCTCCCACAACCGTGACCTCACACAGGTACAAAACAACTGATGGTCAACCCAGTTCAGACATTTGACTTCCAGTTTGTGTTAACCTGTTTTTTCTATTTTCGTACGTTTTGCAGAGAAATGACTTCTGAACACTCGAAGCTATTTTAGCTGTTCGTGCATCAAAATGTTCAGCTCATTGAGATTTGTAACTTTTACATTTTACCTTCACAAATGTTTCTCCCGTTGAGATATTCCTTCAAAACATTGGTTTTATCTGCTTCAGCTAATTGCTCTACCCTTATCTTCTTATGCTACTTTTAGCTTGCATTTTGCTACATTTAGCTTTTAGTTAGTCTTTTGTTTCTTTTGAGTTTAAGCTAGAAATTTGAGTTTATTGCTTTAAGCTAATTTTTTGCTGCTATCGGCTAATGTTTTACTACTTTTAGCTTTCAGTTACAATTAACCTTTAGTTAACATTATGAAACAGCCTTTAAGATTTTTGGCTAATTTTAGCTAACATTTTGCACCTTTTAGCTAAGGTAGCAGTTCACTACTTTTAGCATTTAGCTAGTCTTATGCTAACTTTGACAGTTTTAGCTAGTCTTACTACTTTTAGCATTTAGCTAGCCTTACACTAACTTTGAGTTTTAGCTAGTTTTACTACTTTTAACATTTAGCTAGCCTTACGCTAACTTTGATAGTTTTAGCTAGTCTTACTACTTTTAGCATTTAGCT